CATATATAATTAATTTGTTGAAAAGATTTGCTTGGGTCTGTGTTTAGTGGGATGTGACTTCCACTACCTTTGTAAGACCTCTGAATTACTTGAGATTTGCTTTGAATTAGCACATATTTAGTATCTTGACAAAGGTATACACATGTATTTTAAACTTAAACAGATTTTTCACTATCTCAGTGGTTTCAGGACAGAGGGAAGAAAGAGGCAGTGGAACTACCTACCTAACTTCTAACACAGTCCCCAAGATTTTCACACCTAGTGCCACATCTCTCTAGTATTCAAACGTGGGTCCAGGTGTTTCTGTGAAGACTCCAGATGTGAAGTTCATTGTCAGTTGACTTTGGAGTAGGGAGATTATTGTAGGTGTGTCTGATCTATCAGGTTGGTTCTTGTCAGAGGTCGGAGTTTCAAGCAGGAGCCTTGGAACTCTTTAAGCACTGAAATAGCAGTTATCGTGTGTGGACTGCCTTTGACAGGACCTGAGAGCCATCTCTAGGAGCTGACAGCCAACAGTTCGGTTAACAGAGACGTCAGACCTACAACCATAACAAACCAAGTTCTGCTAATAACTAAGGAATGTCAAAAGAATCTCAACTCTTAGTTAAGATCACTGATGCTTTGATTCCTGCATGCTGAGTACAGATTTCCAACTCAAGGGAATTGTGAGATAATGCATTTGTGTTGCTTTATTTTAATTTAATTTAATTTTTTTTGAGAAAGGGTCTCACCATGTAGCCTGGGCTGGCCTCCAACTCTATCGTTTTTAATTAAAAGAAATTGTTTTATGTGTAGAGGTGTTTTGTCTGTATACATGTCTGTATATCTTGTATACTTGTGTGCCTGGTACCCACTGAGGCCAGAGGGGGGCGATAGAGCCTCTGGAGCTGGAGTTAGAGATGGTTGTGGTTTCCTGCTCTAAAGATAATCAGACCTGGGAGAATGGAGCTATAAATGAGGGGGACTAAAGTCTCGTGTAAGAGCCAGCTTTATTCAGAGCATCAGACAATTTATACTCTGAAGGTTAGGGGAGGGGTCACATGAGTAAAGTGTCCAAGCACAAGGGTAAGCCACAGGTGGCAGAAACCTAGTTTTCCATAGAGGCATGTCAATCCATAACGATAGCAAGCTGAAATGAGTAAACTGAGGTAAACTCATTCGTATCTACTACACCTGAGAGGGGCACAAAAGCATAATAAAAGAACAGTTCCATGGTTTTGAAGAAACTTGATTTCTTGGAGTTTTCTCACAAGCACTCAGAAATCTCCTTACATGGCTCCATTCTTGAACATTCTCCAACAGTTAGGAGCCACCATGTAGGTGCTCAAAATTGAATCTGGGTCTTCTGCTCTTAACAACTGAGCCATCTTGCTGGTCCCTGTCTTCCAACTCTTTATCCTTTTGCTTCAGCCAGCCAGTGTTGGGATTGTAGGTGTGTGCTACCAGGCCTTGCTTTTGTATTGTTTTAAATCCCTAAATGTATTAGTATCCCTTTATCTGAGGTTTTACTGCCTGATTTTTTTTTCATTAGCCAATGATAGCTGTAGTCCAAAACTATTTAATAGGCAACTCCAGAAGTAAACAAACATTCAAATAACTTATCCCAGGGTAGTGTTACAACAAACTGCTTTGCTATTACTGCTGTTGATTTCTTACTGTTTCTAAATTATGAGGTCAATTTTACCAGAGGTCTTAGTAATAGGAAAGGATATAGTTTATGTAATGTTTGGTGGTAATTGATTTTAGGCATCTAAGGGACGTCTTGGAGCATAATGTTTGGTGATGAAGGGTGGGCTAGTGAACTTTCTGTCCCAGTAGTAAGTGCTAGATCCTCTTACAAAGGGAAAGGATTTCTTTTGGCTCACCATTTTGAAGGTTTTAATTCATGATGGGTTGGGCATTGTATTAGTTCCTGTGACAAATACCATCAGGGCTTGAGTCCATAATGGCAGCAAAGGAGGCATGGCAGCAGAAACAGGAAGCAGAGAATTTCATCTACTAAGGAGTAGGGGAGGGGGGAGGACGGAAGTTGATCAAGGCTATAAACTTTCAAAGCCTGCCCCTGGTAATGTACTTTCCTCCAGCAGGGCTGTACTTCCTAAAGTGACCATAAACTCCCCAAACAGGACCACCAACTGAGGACCAAGTGTTCAGGTACAGGAGCCTGTGGGGGATATTTCTCATTCAAACCACAACATCCAGGTTGCTTAGACACTTGGTACAGCAAAACAAATGGTGGGACCACAGCAAAGCAAAACTAATCTCTTTATGAGAGGGAAGTGCAGCAGAGGAAGTGGGCTCAGGTAGAGTGCTTGCCAGCAAGTGTGAGGCTCAGAGTTCAATTCCTACTGCCGCATCCAAAATGAACAACCACTACAACCAAACAGGAGAGATAGTGACCTGAATATTCCCACCCTTTAAGAGGTCCTACCCCTTAAATGTTTCATCCCCTCCCATTAATGCCCATGGGGAGTGCTCCAACCTGTTAACATTGCGGTAGCAGGTATTAGGAATCAAAATAACTCATGATTGGGCCAGCAAGATGACTCAGCAGGTGAAGACACTTGCTACCAAGTGGTGGCCTGGGTTTGATCCCTGATACCCATATGGTGAAAGGAGAGAACTGACTCCAGCAAGTTGTCCTTTGATCTCCATGTGGGCACTATGATGTGTGTCTTCCCCCACAAATAAATAAATAAATACATAAATGTAATTTAATTTTTTTTCATGACCTCTGGATTGGTGTACTTGCCCACAAGCTGATACTTAGGTGCTTCATAAAAAGTTGAGAAATTGTCTACTACCTAGCAAGCAACTAGGCAAGGAAGTAAAACTTGTATCTAGTGCAGTCACTGTTGTGGTTTAAATGAGAATATCCCCCATAGTCTCAGGTATTTGAACACTTAGCTGTAAACAGAAGTTTCTGTCCCACCAGCAATTCCTAAATACCCAGCAGCCGTGTCCCAAATTACCATACAGAGGCTTATATTAATTATAAATGTTTGGCCGATGGCTCAGGCTTATTACTAACTAGCTCTTACATTTAAATTAACCCATTTCTATTAATCTATGTATTGCCATGTGGTCTGTGGCATTACCAGTTCTCTGGCTTCTTGCTTCTTTGGTGGCTCCTTATGTCACTCCTTTGCTCTGCCCTTCTTCTTCACCTCCTTAGTTTGATTTTTCTGCCTAACCTTATCCTGCCTGGCTATTGGCCAAACAGCTTTATTATTAACCGATGAGAGCAACACACATTCACAGCGTACAGAAGGACCATCCCACAGCACTTGGTCCCCAGTTGATGGCCCTGTTTGGGGAAGCTCAGGAGATGTGTGCCCTTGTTGAAGGAAGTGTGGACTTGGAGGTTTCAAAGCCTTGTACCGTTGGCAGTTGGCTCTCTCTGCTCCGTGCCTGCAGTTGAAGATGTGGTACCTCAGCTTCTGCGCCAGCAGTCATGCCTGCTGCTTGCTGCTGTTTCTCCATGGCATGACAGACTCTTTTCCTGCTGGAACTATAAGTCAAATAAGCCCCTTCTATAAGTTGCCGTGGTCGTGGTGTTTTATCGCAGCTGTAGGAAACTAGTGAATACAGCCACTCCGTCAGCACCACCTCGCTAGACTGACGTTTTCCTCCTCACTGCCACATGAGCCTGCGGCTATCTTGAAGACATTGGTCTTGCCACAGGTTTTGTTCCTGTCAGTGTTTTCTCTTCATTCCTCAGGGAAGCATTTGTTGCAGCCCAGGAGCATCTCTGTGCCTTGCTCAGCTGTGGTTGTCACCACCCTATAGAATTTGAATGGGATGTTCTCCAAGTCTTTCTGCTCCACGTGTGCCATCTTAGTTACTTTTTCCCCCCTGTGAGGAGACACCATGACCAAGATAAATTATAAAAGAAAGCATTTCATTGGGGGCTTGTGTATAGTGTCAGAGGGTGAATCATGGCCATCATAGCAGGGAGCATGGCAGCAGGCAGGCATGGTGCTGGAGTAGTAGCTGAGATGCACAAATTGGAGTCAAAGTGTGAGACTGGACCTGGTGTTGGCTTTTGAAACCTCAAAGCCTACCCTATGACACACTTTTCTCCAACAAGGCCACACCTCCTAATCCTTTCCAAAACTGTTTTATTAACTGTGGACCAAGCATTCAAACATATGAGCCTATGGAGGTGTGCTGGCTGGTCTTATGTCAACTTGACACACAAGCTAGAGTTATCTGAAAGGAGGGAGCCTCAATGGAAAGAAAGCCTCCATAAGATCCAGCTGTAGGGCATTTTATGAATTAGTTATTGATGTGAGAAGACCCGGCTCATTGTGGGTGGTGCCATCCCTGGGCTGGTGGTCCTGGGTTCTATAAGAAAGCAGGCTGAGCAAGCCATGGGGAGCAAGTCAGTAAGCAGCACCTCTCCATAGCTTCTTCATCAGTTCCTGCCCATTTGAGTTCCTGTTCTGACTTTCTTTGATGATGAATAGTGATATGGAAGTATAAGCCAAATAAACCCTTTCCTCCCAAACTTTTGGTCATGGTGTTTTGTTGCAGTAATAGAAACCCTGACTAAGACAGAAATTCTCATTCAAACCACCACATATGCCATTGGCATTGTCTTTAACCTTGTCTTACTCTGCTTAGTCCTTGTAGTTACCATAATGTTTGGACAGAGTCTGAAGTTGTAGTGTTTGGGGAAGAGTCTTAGACTCTAACATAAAGCCTCGACTTTCATGCAAGGTACCAAGCATCTTACTCATTTTTGAATAAGGTGGCTTAAAGAAATCAACATACTGGGACTGGGGATATAGCTCAGCAGGAGAGCACTTACCCTGCAGAGCCCTGGGTTCCATCCCGGTACTGATTTATTTGAATAAATAAATCAAAACCAATAACCTGCAATGAGCAGTTGTGTTTCATTTATGCAAACTACCAACTGAAATAAAGCTTAAGAACGTTTTATTCCAAGAGGGAAATTACATCACAAATGTCAACGAACACTTTCCCCCTCCCTTTAGAGTATGAAGCTGAGCTACCTACCCTTCCAGAAGGATATAAAGTGAAACAGGAAGCTGCCGTTACAGTGAGCTCGGTGAGTATTGCCCAGGCTTCAGTGAGAGCAGCACCAAGAACCCCAAGGGTCGCATCCTGGCTTGGGAGTGAGAGAGGGGGGAGACACTGGAGGTAGAGCTTGCACCATGCTTCTTCTGAGAGTGGAGTGGTTTAAAAACCATCATATATGCACTTTGAACCTCACGGTGGATTCCATTAAACGGGGCAGCTCACATTTCCTTGTGACAAGCTCACACTGTAAATGGTGTTTACAATGGATCTATGTAGTGACAGTTGTGGATAGAGCAGGTTTCTCTGTGTGCTGAGAGAGGATCAGCAGTCAAGAAGGGTGTACCCTTGGAAATATACCTTGGAATTGCATACACTGGACAGCCTTAATTTTTTTTTAAAGACTCAAGAGGTAAAGGGACTGAGCAAGGTTGCAGGGATAGAACCTAAACTGAATTCTGTAGATTTTGAGTAATTTTTATTACTGCAATAGCCTCTGACAAATTCTTGTTTTTAAAACTCTTTCTTGTTCTGTGACTGTTCCTTTTTGCTAACATTCTGTTCTTTGCAGGTGCAATTCTTACACAAATTTTTCTGCAGACGCTAATTGTCATTCTCTTTCCTGAATTATTTTTTCTAAGGACAGTTTTTCTATTTATTGGTTTTAGTTTTTGTTTGTTAGACAGGGTCTCACTATATAGATGCGACCAGGCTGGCATGGAACTCCATTTATAGTTCAGATGACCTTAAACTCTTAATTCTCCTGCCTTAGCTTTCAGAGTGCTGAAGTGCTAAGTTTACACCACCATACCTGGCTCTTGCATGCTCGCTTGCTTTCTTTTCTTTCTTCCTTCCTTCCTTCCTTCCTTCCTTCCTTCCTTCCTTCCTTCCTTCCTTCCTTCCTTCCCTCCCTCCCTCTCTCTCTTCCTTCCTTCCTTTCTTTTCTTTATTTCTCTCTCTCTCTCTCTCTCTCTCTCTCTCTCTCTCTCTCTCTCTCTCTCTCCTCTCCTCTCCTCTCCTCTCCCTCTCTCATCCCGTCCTGTCCCTCCCAACTTACTTTCTTCGTTCGTTCCTTCCTTCTTTGTTTGTTTACTTATTTATTTTGGAGACAAGGTCTTGTGGTCATCCTCCTTGCTCTGCCCCACAGGTTCTGGATAGGATTACAGGTGTTTACCACCAAGCCCAGCTGTGGCTATAATTCTTGATCTTTGGTTTTTATCCTGTTGGTTTTCTTGATCTGTGTAGAGAGTTTTAGTTGTGTACAGCCTTTTTTTTTTTTTTTAAAAAAAGGAATTATTTATTTATTATGTACACTGTGTTCTGCCTGCATGTATGCCTGCATGACAGAAGAGGGCACCGGATTTCACTGTAGATGGTTGCTGGGAATTGAACTCAGGACCTCTGGAAGAGCAGATAGTGCTCTTAACTGCTGAGCCATCTCTCCAGCTCCTAGTTGTGTACAATCTTAAATGGGAACCTAAGAGTGTTTTTCTATATAGCCAAGTACCTTAGGGCTTTATAGAGCATCAGAACCAGTAGGAGAAGATTGGGTAGATGGATAGGATAGATAGATGGATGGATGGATAGATAGATAAATAGATAGATAGATTGTAGGTAGTTGATTGATGACTAGATAGGTAGGTAGATGACAAGAGGCTCATTAGTGAATCATCTCACACACGCATTACTAAAGCTGCGTGTCTTTGTTAGGGTTTTTATTGCTGTGAAGAGACACCATGACCACAGCAACTCTTGTAAAGAAAACATTTAATCGAGGGTGGCTCGCTTGCAGTTTCAGAGATCCAGTCCATTGTGCTCATGAAGGGGAGCCTGGCAGCATGCACACAGATGTGGTGCTGGAGCTGAGAGTACTACATCTCGCAGGCAACAGGAAGTCGACTGCCTGTCACACTGAGGGACGCTTGAGAAAAAGAGACCTCAAAGCCTGCCCCCACAGTGACACACTTCCTCCAACAAAGCCACACCTCCTAATAGTGCCCCTCCCTTTGGGGGCCATTTTCTTTCAAACCACCACATTGCACAGTCTCACAGCACAGTCTTCAAGCTGGAGAACTTGAAAGCCAGCAGTGTTGCTAACTCCGAGGCTGATGGCCTCCAACTCGAGGAAGCTGATGTGTATTTCTCAGTCCAAGTGCAAAGGTACAAGACCCATTGGCTGCAGATGCAAGTTCCAGAGTCAAAACACTGTATCAGGAGTCCCAACATGTAAGCCAGGTGCAAAATAAAGGCATGTGGCTCTAGGAGACAGGGAATTCACTTCCTTCCACTTCTCTGCCACCTACCTTGGATGGTGCCTGTCTCTTCCCCAACTCAGCCCCCAGCTTAGCTCTGATCTGCAGATCACCTTCACAGACACACTGGATAGCTCTATCAGTGGTCTCAGTCTGCCCTGGTCTCCGATCTGCAGATCACCTTCACAGACACACTGGATAGCTCTATCAGTGGTCTCAGTCTGCCCTGGTCTCCGATCTGCAGATCACCTTCACAGACACACTGGATAGCTCTATCAGTGGTCTCAGTCTGCCCTGGTCTCCGATCTGCAGATCACCTTCACAGACACACTGGATAGCTCTATCAGTGGTCTCAGTCTGCCCTGGTCTCCGGTCTGCAGATCACCTTCACAGACACACTGGATAGCTCTATCAGTGGTCTCAGTCTGCCCTGGTCTCCGATCTGCAGATCACCTTCACAGACACACTGGATAGCTCTATCAGTGGTCTCAGTCTGCCCTGGTCTCCGATCTGCAGATCACCTTCACAGACACACTGGATAGCTCTATCAGTGGTCTCAGTCTGCCCTGGTCTCCGGTCTGCAGATCACCTTCACAGACACACTGGATAGCTCTATCAGTGGTCTCAGTCTGCCCTGGTCTCCGATCTGCAGATCACCTTCACAGACACACTGGATAGCTCTATCAGTGGTCTCAGTCTGCCCTGGTCTCCGATCTGCAGATCACCTTCACAGACACACTGGATAGCTCTATCAGTGGTCTCAGTCTGCCCTGGTCTCCGATCTGCAGATCACCTTCACAGACACACTGGATAGCTCTATCAGTGGTCTCAGTCTGCCCTGGTCTCCGGTCTGCAGATCACCTTCACAGACACACTGGATAGCTCTATCAGTGGTCTCAGTCTGCCCTGGTCTCCGATCTGCAGATCACCTTCACAGACACACTGGATAGCTCTATCAGTGGTCTCAGTCTGCCCTGGTCTCCGGTCTGCAGATCACCTTCACAGACACACTGGATAGCTCTATCAGTGGTCTCAGTCTGCCCTGGTCTCCGGTCTGCAGATCACCTTCACAGACACACTGGATAGCTCTATCAGTGGTCTCAGTCTGCCCTGGTCTCCGATCTGCAGATCACCTTCACAGACACACTGGATAGCTCTATCAGTGGTCTCAGTCTGCCCTGGTCTCCGATCTGCAGATCACCTTCACAGACACACTGGATAGCTCTATCAGTGGTCTCAGTCTGCCCTAGTGTATTCTGTTGGGCATCTGAAAACAGCCGTCACAGCCGGTATGCTTGCTTTCCTGTAGCTGTGTTCAGGGCTTTGCTTTCTGGATGGATCTCCCCTATGAATAGAAAAGCTCTGTCTAGGTGCTCATGGGCGTGGTTACCTCTGGAAGACTTCTTCAGGGTAGCAGGAACAGAGTCAGTATTTCACCTGATATTTACGTGGGTTCTGAACTCTGCTTCTCACACTTGCAGGACAAGAGCTGTAACCACTCCCTAGCCTCCTCCTCTTTTGGTGTGTTGGCCAATGTCTCAACCATAGACTGTCTTCCTGTCCCTTTTCCCCACTAAGGATTCTAACTTCACTGTCATTTAATTTTGTCTTTTTTTTTTTCCTACTCAGAACTTAGGACTGAACCCAGGGCCTTGTGCTTGCTAGGCAAGTACCCAACCACTGAGCTAAGCTTGCAACCCCGTTACTCATTTAAAAGTGGCATGCCAGGAGGGGAGGGGGTGAACACTTCTCTTCAGAACGACCCCCAACCTATCTGACACAGAAGTTCGTTCCCTTATAAGGTTATAAAAGAAAATCAGGCATTGTGGCACACACGCCTTCAATCCCAGCACTTGGGAGGCAGAAACAGGCTGATCTCTGAGTTCAAGACCACCCTGGTCTACAAATCGAGTTCTAGGACAGCCAAGGCTACACAGAAACCCTGTCTTGAAAAAGCCAAAAAACTGATGATGATGATGATGATGATGATGATGATGATGATGATGATAATGATGATGATAAAACTGAGGGCTGGCGAGATGGCTCAGTGGGTAAAGGTGTTTGCTGCCAAGCCTGACGACCTGAGTTCAGTTCCTGGGACTCAAAGGGTGGAAGGAGAGAACTAACTTCCACAGATTGTCCTCTGGCCTCCACATGTGTGCTGTGGCATGTGTGCACACCCCCCGCATAAATAAGTTGAATTTTAAAATTAAAAAATGAATACAATCAAAGCTGTTCTGGAACTCACGGCCCTACCCTGCTGCCTGTAGGTCACACCATTGGAGGAACTGGTTCCTCATGGCTTCAACATGGAGCACTACTTCCCAGTCCACTCGTTCCCGGTGGTGCCTCCTGTGCCTTGTCCTCCCAAGAAGACAGAGACGGTGGAGCCCAAGACCTGTGAGTAAGGGGACGATTGAGCCTTATCCTCTGAAGTTTGGGGTGTAATACTCACATTCACACGGTAGGGTGGGGTGTTCAGACACATCACTATCTGCCTTGTAGTTCTTCGTTTTGTCTTATCTTTTGGGCTAAGCTGGCTGGTCAGTGAGCCCCAGGAGTCCCTCTCCCCAGCACTGGGATCACAAGCCCACACCACCACACCTGGCTTTGTTCACACTGGTGCTGGGGGTTGACCTCGAGCCCCGAGCTAAGCACCTCCCCAGCTCCATAGTCCTCATTTATAAGAGGAATGTTGTTGGGTCTCTGATGCCTTTGCAAGGTTAGCATGTAGCAGAGAGAACAAAGCAAGCCCTGTGATTCTCTCCTAAATACTAAGCTAGGGACAGGAAGGGTAAGCAGATGCACAGAGCAGAAGAAAGTGTCCTGTTGTCCAGCCTGCTGGTCCCTCTGAGCTGCGGCTCATGAGGCCTCTCTATCTTCTTTCTCCTTGTTGGTTTTGTGCCTTCTGCTCTGGGCCCTGGCCAGGCACTGCCAACGTTACTGTGGCTCTCAGGCCCCATCTGTCCTACTCGCCTATCCCAGCTTCTCTCTAGCCTCAGTTCCCGTGGTACCTCATGCTCCCGCAGACACTGGCCTCTGGGCTATGACTGCCTAGGTGCCGTAAGCGGGTGGAGGACTTGACCCAGGTAGGCCCCCGACCATGTCCTTGCCAGAGTCCAAAGGCTCACGACCCGAAGCACAGTGACAAGTAAGATGATACTGTTGAACAGATGGCACTTTCCTTGTTTTGTTGTTTTTCAGACAGGGTCTCCCAGGCTTGCCTGGAACTTTATATATAGCCAAGGCTTGACTTGAACTTACTATATAGCCAAGGCTTGCCTGTAACTTTTGATCCTCCTGCCTCCACTTCTTGAGTGCTATGACTACAGGCCTGTAGCACCACATCCAGTTTATTGGATGCTGGAGATCAAAGCCAGGGTTTCCTGCATGCTAGGCAAGCACTTGGCCAACTGAGATACTACAGCCTCAGCCCAGATGAAGTATATTTCCATCCCTCCTCCCTCCCTGTCTCCCTTCCTCCTTCTCTGTCTCTCTCTCCCCACTCCCTCCCCACTCTCTCCGTAAAGCAATAAATGTCTTTTTCAGATGAATTTAGTCTTTTGGGATTTTCAGTGGGAATATTCTTGTTTCAGGTTCCCCCAAAGATTATTTGGAAATGTTCATCTTTCCAGTTCTGCTCCCTGGAATGGCCAACCTGCTTCACCAAGCAAAGAGAGAAAAGTGTTTTGAGGTCAGTGGTTTGGTGAAATGTCCATATTTTTAAATTCTTGCTCATTTATTTCAGTCTGATGGCAGCCCATGAGCTTGGTACCATTGAGTTGCTATTCTCAAAAATGACCCCTTTGCAAGGGAAGCCTGAGTTTGGGGCACCCCCCACCACCTCCCACCCAGCCACAACATCTAGTACTACATAAATGTACATGTACTGCCAACTCTGGCCACCTGGGTCCCTGAGAGGTTATCTGCTGCCTAGCCTTCCTGCCCACCCTTCTCCTGGGCAGTTTGGCATCAAGCAGGTTCCCATCCATCACAGCTGAGAAGTCACAGTATGGGAACTTGAAGCAGCTTGTTGTATCACACCCACAACAGAGAGAAATCATTGCATGCAGGTCCCCTTGCTCCCAGCTAGCTTTCTCCTCTCTCATGCTGTTGAGGAGGCCCTGCTTAGGGAATGGTGCTGCCCACAATGGGCTGGGTCTTCCTACATCAATTAACTGTCAAGGCAGCCTTCCACAGACACGCTCACTGACCAATCTGGTCTAGGTAATTCCTCATTAAGACTTAGCTGAAGTGACTCCAGGTTGTGTCAAGGTGACAGTTAAAGCTAGCAGTAGACCATGCTTGCTTCTTACTTGTCTCTGGATTGATCCTGCTCCTCTGGCCTCTCTTTTCTCCATTTTTTGATTGGTTGGTTTAGGTTTGAATTTTTTTTTTTTTTTGAAACAGGATCTCATGTTCCCTAAGCTATCCTCAAAGCCCTTATCTTGAACTCCTGATCTTCTACCCGACTCCCCAGCTGGTATCAAAGCACTGTGCCACTGCCTCCAGCTTCCATGCTAACTACTCTGGGAGAGGTGTGGTGTGCACCAGTGCTCAGCACACACTCATTACTGTGCTGAAGTTACTTAAGCCCATCCACTGATCCTGTCACAGCCTGCATAGAGACTCTCAGGGCTGCTCTTCTCCGCCTCTCACAGGATGATTTGGAGGGCTGTTTCCCACATGGTTTTGCAAACTAGACTTTTTGATGTCCCCTTCTGTTTTATGAACTTTCCCTAGGGTGGTACAATTACTGTACTTACCCCAAATAGGGCACCAATGACCAACCAATGTAACAATTTCACCAAAGTCCAACTTGCCCAACTGATGTTTATTGGGCTTACTTAGAGTGTGGGTTAAGAGTTACTAAGAGGGCCGGGCGGTGGTGGCGCACGCCTTTAATCCCAGCACTCGGGAGGCAGAGCCAGGCGGATCTCTGTGAGTTCGAGGCCAGCCTGGGCTACCAAGTGAGTCCCAGGAAAGGCGCAAAGCTACACAGAGAAACCCTGTCTCGAAAAAAAAAAAAAAAAAAAAAAAAAAAAAACCAAAAAAAAAGAGTTACTAAGAGGAGTGTGGGTGACCCCAAGGCAGTGGAATCACTGCCAACTGTCACCCCAACATGGAAGGCAACCTCCCCGTAGCTGTATGGATAGTGTCTCCTTTTCAGTTAACCCTCTACACGCTATATATTTTAGCACCTGCAGCTTGGGTCAGGGGGAGGTATTAGAAGGAATATCTAAAATCTCAGCCGTGGGTCTGATGACCCTCCCTACCCCCTCTTGTGAAGAAACAACAAGCCTGACCTTGAGAATCTCCTGTGGGTAGTTCCAGTTGCTCTCATGGAGATGGTAATGACTCCTGTGTGGGAGGACAGCCGTTTACAGCACTGTAAGAGGGTAAGTGAGCAGTGACGCAGACTGCTGGTCCAGCACTCGCTCTGCACCGGGCGCTTCACTAAGAGCTTTGGCTTCCCTTATGTCAAGGCTCACATCATCCCCAAGAAATTCTTTGAGTGGGTCTTGCCTGTGTCCAGTAGATGAGAAGAGGGAAGGATGCAGAGCTTCACAGTATGTCCCAGGATTCAAATCCGGATGAAATGACTTCAAGTGGCACCAAGACAGGAGGCAGTAACCATGGTGGAAGGCAGTTGACAGACAAAGCCTGGGGTCTGTAAATGTAGTCACAGTCGATGGCATCATCACATGGTTGGCCTTCTGACCCCAAAGGGTCACTGTCTGAGACGAACTCATCCTCCTGCAGTGGTACTTTTCTGTGCTGTGGAGATAGTTTCCATGTGCTTTACAAATGGGTGACTTTCGTTCAGTGAGGCCGGATGTCTCCCCTCCCTCCTTACCGTGACTTCTTCGTATTCTGTGGCTCCGTCAGTTACTCACCGCTTGGATCCACATGACATAATGTTCCTTCTGGTAGACTTCCCAGCGACAGTTGTGTCTTTACTTGAAGCAAAAATGCATTAGAAGACATTGATCTTATTTGTGGTACTTCCCCCACCCCCATTTCATCATTTTGTTTGAGGCAGGGCCTCATGTAGCCCAGGCTGGCCTCAGACTTACTCTGTGGCCAAGGATTACCTTGAACTTCTGATCCTCTTGCCTTTGCCTCCTGAAAGCTAGAACCACAAATGTGTGTCAGTAACCATGTCTGATTTTAAGCATTGCTGGGGATCACAGCCAGGGTTTTGTGCATGCTGGGCTGCACTCTACAAACTGAGCGGGATTCTCTGCCCTCCTGGTGGGAATTGGCATAGCACACCGTGTTAGTCAGCTTCCTGTCATTGTAACGAAATCCCTGAGATAATCAACTAATAAAGAGAAAATGTTTGTTTTTGGCTCACAGTGTTGGAGGTTGCCCATGACCAAGTTACTGTTGCTTTGTGGCAGGAAGCCACACCATGGTGGCAGCAGATGGCAGAGTGAACCCACTCACATCACAAGCTAGAGAACAGAGAGAGAAGGGACTGGAACTCCAGTCCCTTTTGACGACACACCCCAGTGACCCAGACTTTGGATTAGATCTAGCTCTCCCAATAGCGCCACCTCGGGGACTACCTTGAATACTTGGGCTACCATGCCATGTGACAATGGCAAATCCACATGATGAAGGCAAAGCCTCTAGCCTGGCTTTCGAGGCCCTCTCCAAGCCTCCTGGATCCTTCTCTTTCTCCTTCTCTGGCTCTCCTTCTCAGGTACCCCCAGCTAAACAGATGCCCCTGTACCAGCCTCACCACTCCAGGGCCTCTGTGTATTTGGGCTCTGGGCATTGCTCCTCCTTGTTTTGGAAATCACTCCTTATGCTCCTCTCCTCTGCATAGTTAAGTGCTACTTGCTTTCCAGACTCAGCTGTGGGACACCTTTCCCGGGTTCCCAGCTCCCTGGAGGGCCAAAGGACAGGCAACTGATCCCAGCTCTCAGATTTCAGAGCACTCATCTGCTCCTCATTTTATGGTAAATTCAGACAGCCTCAATTAAGACATTCTTAACCCACATATATTTAATTTTATACATGCCTGACTTCCCAACTATTTTAAGTATTCTGAGGACAGAGTCCCTATCTTAGTTTTATACTTCTCAATGCCTAGTACAATTCTGCCGAGCCCCTAGCACATGTAAACACAGAGGTGGTCCCCAGTGAGTGCACACAGTTGGACATCAAAGATGCACGGTTGTTACTATGTCCTTGGCCAACACCCATCTTCTTTTTGGAAGGCCATTCTGTTGAAGTTATTCCCTAGAGAGAAGTTCTGGACAGGCGAGGGAGCAAGACATCTGTTCCTGAGTTTTAGTCAGTAGCAGGAGAAAGCTCAGGGGCCAGCCAGGGGCAGAGCCTGCTTCCCTAACAGTATTAGAGTCAGTAAACCAGGGCTCAGTGAGGAGCAAAACTCAGGAGTAAAAGTGGGATCATTTTGAAGTCTATCTCAGGCAGGTGTTGTACCACACTCCTCCGGTCTCAGCTGCTTAGGACAAGTTGAAGACTGGCCTTGGCAACTTGGGATGACGACGTCTCAAAAATGAAATTTCAAAAGGGGCCGAGGGTGTAGATGAGCAGTGTAGCTCTTCTCTAGCATGTACAAGGTCCAGGGTTCAAACCTCAAGCACCGAAGGGGAAAAAGCATGATGTCTGCTTGGGACTGATCCTCTCATAGACCCGAGTTAACTTCCTAAAGCTGGTGGCTTTCACCTTCCGCGTCAGCACAGTTTCCGTGCACGTGACTGGAGGACAGTCACGTGCTGCCCGAGGGATGCTTACCGTGGTGAAGACAAGGCCGCCCCGCATTGTTCAGGGCAGACCGGAACCTGCAGAGATCTCAACAAATATTAACTCTGTATCAACTTAGTGTCCCTGTGCAACAAGTGCTTCTCCCGTGTCACCTCCCTCTTGTTTCTGGTTGTTGGTGTGACTCAGCACTTGGTCCTAGCCCCAGGAGGGACCGCGTGGGAGAACACACTCCACAGTGATTTCCTGAGGCAGGTTTATTTTATTGATAACTTCACAGGAAAAGGGAAAAGAGGGTCTCATTCATACCAGTCAAGCAATACCTCATTGACCTCTAGAAGCTTCTCTGTCTTCATCAAGCACCTGCTAGATCCTGAGCAGTTCTGATCTGGCCCCAGCTCACACAGCTGCTCAGTGAAGCCCGGCCCAGCACTGGGCCTCCTCCATGACAGTGCAGGTCAGCTGTGGTCTGTGGTCCTGGGGCGGGAAGGAGGATGGGGCGTCATCTCACCCACCCACATAAAGCCTGACTGGTCTTTACAATGCTCTGTAGGAAATGGTTAGTTTGCCACGTGGGCCTGGTGCATTCCAACTGAGGCGCTTCAATGCTCTCCTCTGTCCCGCTGCTCTCCTCTACCCCGCTGCTCTCCTCTACCCTGCTGCTCCCCTCTGTCCCGCTGCTCTCCTCTGTCCCGCTGCTCTCCTCTGCCCTGCTGCTCCCCTCTGTCCCGCTGCTCTCCTCTGTCCCGCTGCTCTCCTCTGTCCCGCTGCTCCCCTCTGCCCTGCTGCTCTCCTCTGTCCTGCTGCTCTCCTCTGTCCCGCTGCTCCCCTCTGTCCCGCTGCTCTCCTCTGTCCCGCTGCTCCCTTCTGCCCTGCTGCTCTCCTCTGTCCCGCTGCTCTCCTCTACCCCGCTGCTCTCCTTTGTCCCGCTGCTCCCCTCTGTCCTGCTGCTCTCCT